TGAATTAAACTCTCTAAAGGGGTTTAGGGTGTTACTCCCTCCACCACCACCACTTCTCCCTCCACCTTCCCAAAATTCTGAAAAAAAAAATAATTACAAAAATAACATTTTTTATTTTTAACCCTATTTATTTACTTTAAACTCAAACTCTATCTTTCTATCCATTTTTACTTTTCACTCAGCCCCACCACTTAACTCTCCTTCTCTCTCTTCCCACCCCCCAACTCCACCACATCTGTTTGTTTTAATTACAAAAATATTAATATAATAAAATTATATATTTCATATAATTAAACTAATAAATAATTTTTTATATAGTTATAAAATTGTTAAAGAATACAAAAACCATATATAAAAAATATATATTATACAAAAACATTAAAACAAAAAACTAATTATATATAACTGCAAAATACAAAAAAATATAAATATAAACTAATAACAATAAAGATCTTCAAAAATGCGTTATTAAAATACATCAAAAATATATTAAAAAATAATACATCAAAACATATAAATTACATTATTAAAATATCTCCAAAATAAATATTAAAAAAATAAACTAATAAAAATAAACATGTAACTTTAAACGGATGTGAGCATGCGTCAACGGATGTCAACATTCGTTTAAGGCAAAACGGATATCGACATCCGTTTTTCCTTAAACGGATGTGAGCATCTGTCAACGGATGTCAACATCTGTTTAAGGTAAAACGGATATCGACATCCGTTTTTCCTTAAACGGATGTTGACATCCGTTGAGGAATGCTCACATATGTTTAAAGATTATACGTTTATTTTTTTAGGATTTATTACGCACCTTCACAACAAATCCTTCAAGCACCACCACACCACCACCACACACCGATCTTGGCACGACTGATCAATTGCTTCTACAACCACTTGCAATCTCTCACTAAGCACATCAGCTAATGAAAGTTCACCACACTCTGAGACCACAATTCTATCACAATTAAAAAATGAGAGGAAGAAGTGGAACGTGAAAAAAAGAAGAGCACAATAAAACATGAGGGGACGAACGATAAAGAGGAAGAAGAGTTGTTGCTGCATACATGTAGATTATTAGAGTGGGTAAAGATTAAAAAAATTAACCCTAAAATTTTACTAAGGATAAAATAGGAATGGAAAAATAAAGGGAAGGGTAAAACAAGAATGGGGTGGTGGAGGGAGCAACACCCAAGGGTTTAGGCCTTAGATAATGGTCAAGGCCTTATCTTCCTGCACGCCCATACTTTTTAACTGCACACCTGAATACTGGGCCTGTTTACCTTAGCCGAAACAATAGTATCCCATGAATTTTGAGGTGTTTCTTCTCGCCCATTATACAACTTTTGGACACATTTTCAATTACTTTACTTTAGAAACTTTATCTTTCATTTCATATTTAAAAAACTATGATCTATTTCACTGATAGGAATGCTAAAAGCATATTAAATTAATTAAATATATATATAATTTAAGTATGAATCTAGGTTTTATATCACATAAAAATAAAAAAATTGAATTTTATATAAAGATGAAAACTTATAAATTTATTATTTTTGGATTAAAATAATCTTAATTTCTTATATATGAATTGAGCTTAAAACTTCTCTTAATAAAATATTATAAACATTATTCCAACACAAGAAGAGACTATCATAAATTTTATGGATTTTTACTCTTGGAAATCATGGTAGTATATAATTGTTTGCCCATAGAAAACCTAAAGATGATAATAAATATTTGGTAAAGATATTTTGATGTACCAAGCATGGCGTGACAGTTCTTTGAATGTAAACGAAGCTATCTCAAAACACAAAAAGAGGGACCACTTTGTCTACTTCTTTACCCAACCACAAGTGCAACTCTTTCAATACAAACCAAACTCTTTTTTTTTTTTTT